CGAAATAAATCAAAAGTCTTTCTCCAAAAGAAAAAATATTATCAGACATACTGTAAAAATGTCCTTGCTCTGTTAAACATCATTTGGGAAATATTTAAAAAAGAAGAAATAAATCAAAGAGGGGCTAATAATTCAGACTTCAACTGTGTGTAGATAGATAGATAGATAGATAGATAGATAGATAGATAGATAGATAGATAGATAGATAGATCGATAGATCGATAGATCGATAGATAGATAGATAGATAGATAGATAGATAGATAGATAGATAGATAGATAGATAGATCGATCGATCATAACAAGAACTGCTGCTTAATTGAATGCATGTAATAGCGATACCCGGTGGTTATTTATTGAATTACGTTCATTTTTGTATAGCGGGCCAGATTCTATTGATATTTATAAAAAGCCTCGCGGGCCGCCACAAAACTGATTGCGGGCCGCAGATGGCCCGCGGGCCGTAGTTTGGACATGCCTGGGGTAGACAGACGTTAATAAAATACAATTAATGAGTAGATTAATAAATAATATGAATAATACTTGTTATAACTACTGTATTTACATTACTGTGATGGTTGGGAAGGGGTAGACTTAATAAAATACAATTTAATGGGTAATTTAATAAATAATATGAATAATACTTGGTATAATTACCGTTTTTACATTACTGTGAGGGTTTAGTTTAGGGTTTGGGTAGATGTAGACATTAATAAAATGCAATTTAATGGGTATTTAATAAATAACATGAATAATACATAATTACTATTTTTAGATTACTGTGATGGTTGTGTTTGGGTTGGGGTAGGGATCGATGTTAAAAATATATATATTTTAAAGGGTAATTTAATAAATCATATGAATAATATTCTGTATAATTACGGTTTTTACCGTTATTTATATTACTGAAAGAGTTGGGTTGAGGGTTTGGGTAGACATAGATGTTAATAAAATACAATTTAATAAATATAATGATAAATAATGTAAACAATACCTGTTGTAATTACTGTATTTACATTACTGTGATGGTTGGGATTAGGGTTGGGTAGGGGTAAATGTAATAAAATACAATTTAATGGGTAATTCAATCAATAATATGAATAATACTTGGTATAATTACCATTTTTACATTACTGTGAGGGTTTAGTTTAGGGTTTGGGTAGATGTAGACATTGATAAAATACAATTTAAAGGTTAATTTAATAAATAACATGAATAATACATAATTTCTATTTTTAGATTACTGTGATGGTTGTGTTTGGGTTGGGGTAGGGATCGATGTTAATAAAATAATTTTATAGGGTAATTTAATAAATAATAGGCATAATACTCTGTATATTTACGTTTTTTATATTACTGTAAGAGTTGGGTTGAGGGTTTGGGTAGACATAGACGTTAATAAAATACAATTTAATGAATAGAATAATAAATAATGTAAACAATACCTGTTGTAATTACTGTATTTACATTACTGTGATGATGGGGTTTAGGGTTTGGGTAGGGGTAGATGTAATAAAATACAATTTAACGGGTAATTTAATCAATAATATGAACAATACTTGGTATAATTACCGTTTTTACATTACTGTGAGGGTTTAGTTTAGGGTTTGGGTAGATGTAGACATTGATAAAATATAATTTAATGGGTAATTCAATAAATAACATGAATAATACTTGGTATAATTACTATTTTTAGATTACTGTGATGGTTGGGTTTGGGGTTGGGGTAGGGATCGATGTTAATAAAATACATTTTAAAGAGTACTTTAATAAATAATATGAATAATACTCTGTTTAATTACGGTTTTTACATTACTGTTAGGGTTTGGTTTAGGGCTGATGTAGGGGTAGATGTTAATAAAATACAATTAATGGGTCATTAAATAAATAATATAAATATTTGTCATTGTAATTACTGTATTTAGATTGATGTAAGGCTTTAGGGCTGGCATAGGGGTAGACTTTAATAAAATATTATTTAATTTGTAATTTAATACATACTATAAATAATTCTCATGAACTTCTGGCTGCAGCTATATCTCTTCAGGCAGCAATCATATCAACCTGTGCAAGCAGCAAAAGCACTTGAGCATTAGCTAAAGACTTGAAGTTTTGAAGATTTCAGGTAAAAATAAAAGAAAATTAGAAAGAAAAAAAACTAGATATTGAGGATGAAGAAAAAAAACACAAAAACACTGTAAAATCCAACAGTCAACTTGATTAAATATAATAAGTGTAGTCAACTCATAATTGACTGAAAGTTAATTCTACTCATTTGAAAGAAGTTTTGAAGGTAATGAGTAAATTAAATATCTCATTACTTCAAAGTAAGTGGAGTAGGTTCGCAGTACTCATATAGATTAGTTTTTTAACTCAAATGGTTTGTAGCAATCTGTTTCCTGTTTTCCTTTTTTTGAGTACTGTTTTACAGTACTCAGTTGGTTTGAGTTCTCTTCATTTATTGGGTTTTACTGTCCTCAAATTGCTTCGTTTACTCAAATAGATTAAGTTCACAGTACTCATTAGGGTTAGTTTTTGAACTTAAAGGGCCCTATCATACACCCAGCGCAGTGTGGGGCGGCGCAATAGTCTTTTGGTAGTTTCAGCTTGGCGCAAGAGTCGTTTTGAGGCGTTGTGTTACGCTGTTTAAATAGCAAATGCATTAGCGCTCATTTTTGCGCCCATAGGCGTTCTGGTCTAAAAAGAAAGGCGTTCTGAGGCGGACCGCTGACGCGTTGCTATTTTGAGAAACTATAATAGATTTTTCATTAGACCAAAACTAACCCGGTCTAAACTCCGGCGCAGAGTTGCACCTCGCTTACACACTGCTTAATACGCAGAAGAGAGCAATAGGCAAATATCTTTACATATGAAAAAAATTAAATATTAGGGATATAATAAGAATAGATATAGGATATAAATATAAAGGATTAAAATATTACAAAACATATTATTTTCTAGCCTACATAAATATAAAAAATCACTGCTTTTATGCCTTCTTCATCTCGGGAGGCTTTTTCAGTTCTTTCATAACAATTTGCTTTTGTATAATGTTATTATTATTAGCAGTATTTTTTTATTGTATCCATATTTATATTTGTTTTATTAAAAACAAGCTTAGATTTGCCCACCTGTCAGGTTTTAGACCATATGGGGCACAGCATGTGTTTTAGGATATAACTCAGGTTTTTGAGCACACTTGGTCATTATTGTTCATTTATTCGTTTGCTGGAAATTAGAACTGAATTTAGAAATAGTTTTGAAACGAATATTTGCGCTCAACAAACAAAAGTATTTATTTATAGACTAATTGATGTCTGTGCGTAAAGGTTTCCCTATCCAAGAGCGAATGTGAAAGTAGTTCCATTACCTCTCATTCTCACGCAGTAGATGCTCTGTTTAACAGTTTTCTGTTAAAAAACTGTTAACTGTTTACTGTTTGCTAGTGAAATGCGCATTTACTCTAATTGACTCTAATTGGTTTATTCTCAAAACACACCTATAACTCAAGAAAATAAACTCAACCCTTTTAGACCCCGCGCCACGGCGCAAGGCAGATTTCCCGTCCTTAAATTAGCAAAAACGCGTCCTCACATGCCCTGAAAGCGTTTGCGCCCTGCGTTTTGCGCTCTGCACATGGACCGTCAGAGCCCAAAAAGTCTGTTGAAATTGGTTTCCTCAAATGCTTTGAGTTGCCTTAACTTTTTGGGTTTTACAGTGTACTATTAATGTTTATTTCTGTATAACCTCCTCCAGGTCTAACTGTTAAAACCATTTAATCATAATGAACCAACAAGCCTCATGCTAGTATTAAATAAATGCAGATATGGTGCTGATATTATGTGCATGAATCAATCCATCAAGAGCTGTTGACCAGTCTGGATTTGAGCGAGCGAGCAGTGAAGTGTAGGAATCCAGCACTAGCATACCAGCACAGATAGTGCAACTCCTAGTGGGAAAGATAACTAGACGAGAAACAGCGTGAGCGGGATAAGTGGGATTCCTGCATCACTATGAAGGGATGAGCTTCCAAACACTGATATGCGGAGGCCATGACAGTGAAAGTGTGCATAGCAAAGATCAGCATCCAAACTTAACACTCACCAAGGGCCAAATGCAAATAAAAATGGCTATAGTGAGTGAATAGAACACCTAGTGGCAATACGATGTTGTGTTCATGAAAGTACAGCACTTTACATTACTATTAAACTACTTGATGGGATTTTGGAATTGTTTTGCATACATACTTAATCTAATGAAATGAGTTGAGTTTACTTAAAATTGACTGAAAGTTAATTCTACTCAATTGAAGAGTTTTGAACTTAGTGTTAAAGGTGATGAGTTAATTAAATACCTCATTACTTCAACCTAAATAGGTTCAAAGTACTTATATAGATTAGTTTATTAACTCAAATGGTTACTTAAAAAAATTATTCAGAGCGGATTCCTTGCATTTACTTAATTTTGTTACGTTAAGTGGTTGTAAACAATTTATTTGTGTTGAATTTAAACAAACAAATTAAGCTGAACATGATTAAACTTAATTTGTTTGTTTAAATTCCACACAAATAAATTGTTTGCATCAGTTCTGCATGCAACACTTTTTTTCAGTGATAGCAGTCGTTTCCTCAAACGGTTTAAGTTGCCTTAACTTATTGGGTTTTACAGTACTCAGTTGGTTTGAGTTCACTTCATTTACTGGGTTTTACTGTCCTCAAATTGCTTCATTTACTCAAATAGATTAAGCTCACAGTACTCATTAGGATTAGTTGGTAACTCTTTACAATAAGGTTCATTAGTTAATGCATTTACTAACATGAACTAATCATGAACAACACATGTTCAGCATTTATTAATCATTATTGAACATTTACTAATGCATTATTAACTTCCAAGTCCATGCTTGTTAACATTAGTTAATGCACCGTGAGTTAACATGAACTAACAATGAACAACTATATTTTCATTAACTAACGTTAACTAACCTGAACAAATACACTAGTAAATGTATTGTTCATTGTTTGTTCATGTTAGTAAATGCATTAATTAACATTAACTAATGAACATTATTGTAAAGTGTGACCCATTAGTTTTTGAACTTAAATGGTTTGTTGCAATCGGTTTCCTCAAATGATTTGAGTTACCTTAACTTTTTTGGGTTTTACAGTTGTAACGTGTTTTAGTGGGATGCTGTAATGTTTAGGTGAGACAGATGTATTTACATTTACATTTAGTCATTTAGCAGAGGCTTTTATCCAAAGCGACTTACAAATGAGGACAAGGAAGCAATTTACACAACTATAAGAGCAACAATGAATAAGTGCTGTAGGCAAGTTTCAGGTGTGTAAAGAAAGTGTAAGAAGCAAAACATTAGTGTTTTTTTTTTTTTTTGTTAGTGGAGGAGTCAGAGAGGGAATTGCATATTAGTAAGGAAAGTGGAGACTAAATAGTGGAAGACAGCGAGTGACTCTGCCGTTCTAATGCAGTTAGGGAGTTAATTCCACCAACTGGGCAGATTGAGCGTGAAAGTTCAGGAAAGTGATTTCTTCCCTCTTTGGGATGGAACCACGAGGCGACGTTCATTCACAGAACGCAAGTTTCTGGAGGGCACATAAATCTGCAGAAGTGAGAGCAGATAAGAAGAGGCGCAGCCAGAAATCGCTTTGTAAGCAAACATCAGAGCTTTGAATTTGATGCGGGCAGCAACTGGCAGCCAGTGCAAACGGATGAGCAGCGGAGTGACATGTGCTCTTTTAGGTTCATTAAAGACCACTCGTGCTGCTGCGTTCTGGAGCATCTGAAGAGGTTTGATAGAGCTAGCTAAGAGCCCGGCTAGTAGAGAGTTGCAATAGTCCAGTCTGGAGAGAACAAGAGCTTGAACAAGGAGTTGAGCTGCATGTTCAGATAGCAGATAGGTGTAATGTTGAGGCAGGAATCAATTCTCTATTTAAGCTTTTTACTCAATAGTTGAAGCAATTATTATGTAACAGTAATAAATGGAAAAAGAAACAAACATTTACAATTATCTTTGAACAAAAACAATGAGTGTAAGCCAAATCAAAGCCAAATCAAAGAAATTAACAAAACAAAACAATCCTTAAATCTAAAGTCTAAACTAGGCGTCAAAAAGAAAAACAAAATAAAAACCGAGATCTTCAGTGTACACGACACCCGAATTAAATTAATTAAGCTACAAAACTCAAAACACTAAAACTAATCTAACAAAACGCCAATCTAATCTAAAACAAACCGGATAAGATGGTCAAAGCTTGGATTAGAATCACACAACAACCATCACATTATGTTACTTAAAATGCACCTAGGTTACCCTTTTTTTCAGATTTATTATGAATCATTTGCGTCTCCAGAATGTGTCTGTAAAGTTGCAGCTCAAAACATTCATCAGATTTTTTTATTATACCTTTTATACATTATATGTTTTATACATTTTTGCACGGTTTTGCTGTTCTGCACTTTTATGGCTAGTCCTCCCCACCCACTGTTTCTACGTGCCTTTCTGCGTGCCTTAATCTCCTCCCTCGGCTGCAACACCACAGTCATATAATATGCTGTTGAGTTTGTAAGTTCATAAGTAGATAGTGCATGAGTGCATAGTGTGACATTTGAGATGCAGCTAATGAAAGTGTTTTTTGAACTTGCGAGCATATCAGCCTGTTGTTGGAGACCCACAAAACAAAAAATTGACCTTTTTTAAAAGCATAATAGGGCCTCTTTAACAGCATTTTAAAATACAAATACTAATAAATGCAACTTTAAAGAGAGACTTTCCAAAAAAACGACACCATTTCAAATGTTTGACAGGTAGTACATGTAGGAAATTTAGCCACTTAAAACACAAACACATTTTCAGTTCACTTCCCACGTGGCGCTGTGGATAAAAATGCATTTTTGAATCACACTGTTGATCATTGTGAGAAATGGCTCGTTCATAACATCTTCCTCCATGTGTGGCACGTAACATAATTGTTCTGTTTTGTTTGCAGCCCAAGATCGAGTGGTTGAAGAATCAGATGATTATTGGTGACGACCCCAAGTTCAGGCAGATCAACAACCAGGGCATCTGCTCTCTAGAGATCCGCAAACCTGGCAACTTTGACGGCGGCGTCTACAGCTGCAGGGCCAAGAATGAGCACGGAGAGGCTGTGGTCACCTGTAAACTGGAGGTCAAACGTAAGTACATGTACATTAATGACTTCTGCTTTTGGCCTTTTTGAAGTATTTCTGCTCATCATGAGTACAGAATCATTAGCCCTCCCGTTCAATTATGTTTTATATAATCTTTCCCCAATTTCTGTTTGATGGAAAGAAAAATTTTTCAACACATTTCTAAACATTATAGTTTGTTCTTTTGATAATTGAAAAGAAATGCTTAAGGTGGCTAATAGTATTAGTATTGACCTTAAAATGTAAAAACAGTTTGTTCCAGCCAAGATAAATCAAGTAAGGCTTTCATTCATTCATTCATTCATTCATTTTTTTTTTCAGCTTAGTAACCTTTATTAATCACGGGTTGCCACAGCAGAATAAACCGCCAACTTATCCAGCATATGTTTTACACAGCGAATGCCCTTCCAGCTGCAACCCATCACTAGGAAACACCCATACACTCTCACATTCACACACACACAATACGGAAAATTTAGCCTACCCAATTCACCTATAGCACATATCTTTGGACTTGTGGGCAAAACCAGAGCACCCAGAGGAAACCCATGCAATCACGAGAGAACATGCAAACTCCACACAGAGATGCCAACTGACCCAGTTGAGGCTCGAACCAGCGACCATTTTTACTCTCAACTGAACTGTATGTGATAGTTTTGATCTTGATTGACAGCTCTACTCACCAATGGTCAGTAATAACATTATTTGGTTGCACTTAATTTTAAGATGTCCTTGTTACAGGGTTAATATTAATTAAACTACAGGGTAATATTAATTAACTGCATTATTTGATTTGGGTAAGGCTGAGGTCGGATAGGGTTGATACAAACAGGTTTGAGTTTCTGTGTTCTGTTGAACACAAAGGAAGGTATACTCTAAACAAACTGCCTTAATTATTATATTATATTTTAACTAAATTCTGGGTGTAATATAGACTAACAGTGGGTAGCACAATCGCCTCATAGCAAGAAAGTTGTAGGATCAAGTCCAAGCTGGGTCAGTAGGCATTTCGATGTGGAGTTTGCTTGTTCTCCCTGTCTAAGCTTAGGTTTCCTCTGGGTGCTCCAGTTTCCACCACAGTCCAAAGACATGTGGTATAGGTGAAATAAATGAACTAAATTGACCGTAGTGTGTGTGTGAGTCTTTGCAAAAGTGTGTGGGTGTTTCGAAGTGTTGGGTTGCGGCTGGAAGGGCATCCGCTACGTAAAACATTTGCCTGATGAGTTGTTCATTCTGTTGTGCCGACCTCTGTTTAATAAAGCGACTAAGCCGAAAAGAAAATGAATGAATAAATAAATTAAACCAAATTTAACCCAATCCATGAGTTAGTCCATATTTTACCCAATTTGGGTTTAAATTACCCAGCATGTCTTGGGGTGTATTTTAAACTGGTGGCTATTGACTTCCATTGCAATTTTCCCCCTACTATGGATGTCAATGGTTCAAAATATCTTCTTTTGTGTTCAACAGAAGAAAGAAACTCAAACATGTAGGAAAACGCAAACAATTCAAATATAGTCTGTGTTAGTAAATGCAAGGCTGTTGATGAAATCCAGGCATAAGACTGTATGACAAAGCTTCAGATGACTGTTCTAGAGCCTACAGCTGATCAATCTGTCAGATTCTGGAGTGAATTACAGCTCTAAAGAAAAATGTAAATGATAAATGATCTTAAATAAAACAAATACATTTATAGAGATGGTATATAAGTATATAATTTCACTCACTTGGAAAACTGAAGGCAACTTGAATGGTTTGTGAGCACAATTAAGTGCACACAGCATGCCATATCATCTGATAATTGGAGGAATTAATTCCAAAAGTCAACTGACTGTGTAAAGCCACAAAAAACAAATCAAAAATATGTTGAATATGCCGAGTTCGGCAGCTAATCAGCCGGAATCAGCTGAGGTGATGAGACAGCCAGCGGCGAGACCAAGCTGCCACTCAAGTAGCCAGACTTAATATAACTTAATAAAAACGAAATGGATGAGTTATAAAAAAATTCACCCTCCTCACAGTTGTCATGAAGGGTGATATTAACTATATACACCAATGCCATCTTTTGCTGTAAAGATGTTTTTATCAGCTGTAAAATTAGCCAATTTAGCATTGCAGTCAGAGAACATCTGCATTTCCTGGAGCCAGGCAGTTACAGATTTACTTCCGTATTGGCTTCACGAGGGAGAGCGGGAGGTTTCCGCTTGGTCAGAACCCAACGTCAGACCGACATCAGTGTTTTTAGACTAGTTTTTGGTCACTTTGCATTGCACCCTAAAATCAACCAAATATCAACGTCTAATGATGTTACAGCTTGACGTTGTGTGGACGTTACCACTATGATGTCTATCAGACATTGGATTTTGGTTGCCATACCTGATGAATAAATGTCAGTATTGGACGTCAATATGAGGTTGGTTTAAGATGTTGGCTTAACAATGGATTTTGGTCACAACACAACCTAAAATCAAACAAATATCAACGTCATTTGATGTCGTTATTAGACATCAAAATAAAATTGTCCTTAAACACTGGTTAGTAATTGAATTTTGGTCACCTGACATCAAATGAATCTAACTGAATATTTCACATCTTTTGACTTTGTGTGCCTGCTGGGATTCCTTTAACAATCAGTCCAGGTGACTTTTAAGCTTTGACTTTTGCATTTCTGAAAATAATGAAATCGTTATGCTGGAATGAGTGTCGAATCATAAAACATTGTTGACGTAAATGTCATACGGTTTATATTTAGCAAGATAAATATGTTAAATGTTGATCCTGTCAGATGATCTCCGGTGTGTTATAAACAGGCTTGTATGATTGGGATCCTTTCTACGCCAAGTCATCAAATGAAGCATCAGTTTATGGACGTCTAATATGAGCGTAATCCAAGCTAAGCTGCGTTTATACAAATGCCTGACCCGATCTGTGTCTGCTCTTATGCTCGTCGAGTTATCACTCCTCACGTGCTCTTACCGTCGGATCTATTTATTGCTATTGTAAAATGTTCTACGACCTTTTGAAAGTTGAGAAGATGAGCGATGACTCCTTGCAAACATGAAAATAGAAAATAGTATAGTTATTGACCAACGTGGTCATGTCATTGGCCCATGAACATTTCCTGCTTGTTATCAAACTGTTTCATAACTGTAACAAGAGGCGATTTAACCCTATCTTTATGTTAAAACAGCTATCATAACATTATTTATTAATATGTGGCTCTTTTTGTGTTCTCGGAAGCTCTAGAAATCAAAAATGTAAAACTGGAAATAAGATGGGAATATTGTTTTTGTTTACATTCCAAAAAATGGTCTATTAAATGCTAATGTTTTTATATACACTTGCTGAAAAATCCAGCTTAAACCAGCCTAGGATAGTTGGCTGGTTTTAGCTGGTCAACCAGCCTTATTTTAGAGGGGTTTTGGCCATTTCCAGCCTGGTCTTTGCTGGTCAGGCTGGGAGATGACCAGCTGAAACCAGCTTGACCAACCTAGCCAGACTGGGGGCCCAGCCAAAACCAGCTATGTCCTATGTCAAGTTTTTTACAGCCTGACCAGCTAAGACCAGGCTGGATTGGGCTGGAAACCAGCCTGGAAATGGCCAAAAACCCTTTACAACCAGGTTAGTTGACCAGCTAAAACCAGCCAAGCAGCTGTAAATACTAATATATTAGTAGTATTTACAGTATATGTTGTAGTTTTAACAACTCTTTATAGTGAACTAATAAACTGTAATAAATAACTTGTTATAATTTATTATAATTTAGTTTTACTACAGTAAACTGTGGTGCATTGTAGTATTAATTATCCATAGTTCCCGAAAACTACAGTCAAAGAGCTTAGATTTACTAAGAGGCGACTCTCAATAGAACATTCCATTGCAACAGCAGCGGCCAGCGATTCCGCTATTATGTAAGGAAAGCGATCTGTCGTCCATTGGATCTTATTGCTGTCGCGATGGCAAGCAGCTGCTTTGTTTTTTATTCATTCATTTACAAAACGCATCAAAGCTGAAGGCGACACAGTGGCGCAGTAGGTAGTGCTGTTGCCTCACAGCAAGAAGGTCGCTGGGTTGCTGGTAATAAGATGGGAATATGAACCGCCCATCTTCGGCTCAGTTGGTGTTTCTGTGTGGAGTTTGCATGTTCTCCCTGCGTGGGTTTCCTCCGGACATGTGGTAGTCCAAAGACATGCGGTACAGGTGAATTGGGTTGGCTAAATTGTCCGTAGTGTATGAGTGTGTGTGTGTGTGTGTGTGTGTGTGTGTGTGTGTGTGTGTGTGTGTGTGTGTGCGTGTGTGTGTGTGTGTGTGTGTGTGTGTGTGTGTGTGTGTGTGTGTGTGTGTGTGTGTGTGTGTGTGTGTGTGTGTGGATGTTTCCCAGAGATGGAAGGGCATCCGCTGCGTAAAAACGTGCTGGATAAGTTGGCGGTTCATTCCGCTGTGGCGACCCCGGATTAATAAAGGGACTAAGCCGACAAGAAAATTAATAAATCAATGAATCAAAGCTAAAATACAACCTGAAAGTCGACAATTCAACACTTACAATCATAGACTGGTGGATTATCAGCACTTTTAATAGTTAATTTTACAGACCTAATGTTAACCATATATTAACCATATTTGTTTTTTTGAAACTGTCACTTTTAGGTGAAATTACTTTAAATGACTTTAATTTAATAGCTTATGCACTGGCATAATACATATTAATACTGACATGTTAAATCAAATAAACATGACTTTCAGAATGAGATGTTGATAACTGATTAACAGTTATTTTAGTTGGAGTATTATATTATAATAGTGCAAAGTATTTTTTCCAGTGTTGTCTATTAAAAAAATAAAATAAAGTTTTTATTTAAAAAGCCACTTTTTCCAAATTAATTTATTTATTATAAATATTTTTTATTCATGATTTTAAATTCTGCCATTAAAATCATGGAGGCCACAAACTAGAGATCTGCGCGGGATTACATTTTGAATCCCGCTCCTGCCAGGTTTTAGTCCGAACCCATGCCGCTTATATTCAGCATTTGTTGTCCCGCTGCCCGATCCGAGAGGGGGAGGCAAACAGAACCAAAAACTAACCAGCTATAGCTACAGAGTCCAGACAGCCTATAACAAGTTGTCTGTATAAACACACACACACATACACACACAGCACCAAGCAAGTGACACACAGACAGCATCATGCTCTCTCATTCACACACACACTCACATAGACAGCACCAAGCTCCCTCTCTCATTCACATACACACACACACACACACACATAGACAGCAACAAACAAGCTAAACACAGCATCACACTCTCTCATTCACACACATACATATATACATACATACGCACGCTCGCTCGCTCGGGAGTCGGGAGCGATATTGTTAGACCGCCCGCTACCGTTGAAACTACACCAGTTACCGACCGCTTCCATGCTTTTTTGGGAAATTTATTCCCACGCCGCAAGAATACTGGTCGGGTCCCATGGCTCCCGCAGATGTACCGCAGACCTCTACCACAAACTACCAGATAATGTCGTTTTTGTTGTGTATACTCATTTTTGCTTCACCCTAATTTGAGAAAAAACAAAGAAAAGTTATTAAATAATTTTGTTAATCTTACTTTTATGTTATATGTGAAACAGATATTTTAAATATCAGATGTATTAAACTTAGTCTTGTCAACATTTTGGAAATTGTCTGTTTTCATTGGGAAATTGGTTTAAAATTTGACTTTTCTGAAGATGTGTACTCATTTTAGCTCATATTTAACTCAATATTTTATCCGTGCTGTTGTTCAATTGGAATTTTTTATTCCAAAATGGCCGCCACGTGACACTAGCGGCATCTAGTGGCTGCTTCTCAAATAGCAACAGAGTGTCGCCTCTTGGAGATTCTATGCTCTTTGCTTCAGTACTGGATGATTTGTTTATATTACTGTAGTTGTTGTTGAGTTACTGTCGCAACTATTGAATCACTCCAACCGATTCATTTAAGTACATTACTTTAGAATGATTCAAACACAATATACAGTAGTACTTACTGTACTATAAATTACTATGGCATTTTTATAGAACTCTCACATTCCTGTTTGTTTGGCTGCTAAAAATGGTTTCGAAAGCTTGTGTATTGAAGCGTGTTCTGGTTTTCTTTGTCAACAGAGCCTGTGATTGCTGATGCTGATAAGAAATAAGTTGGACACCCACATTCATGCAGGTCAGTCTCTATTTATAGATGTGTTCTGAGGTGTAAAGCACCACAGTATTGCAGCACTCCAACACCATTCCACACGTTGACAGAAACGAATGCTTTTATTCATCAAGGACACTTTAAAGTGATCAAAAACGATTTCAAGGATTCAGTTTTAAAAAGAAATGCAGTTTTTGTTAAGCAAGGAATGCTGCATCAGTAATGTGATGCACTTCATAATATATTAACATAATATATTATTATTATTCGAGATCAACATCGTTGTTTTCACAGCCTTGGTGAGCATAAAAACATCATAAAATTTATACAATTTGCTGTTACTTTAAATGAATTATTTAATTCAATTTAATCCATGTTTATTGTATAGCGCTTTTCACAATAATTATTGTTTCAAAGTAGCTTTACAAAAGGTGCACATTATTGCATTGCGATCAAAATCATAAAATTTAAGGTTATAACTTGACTATTTTTTATTCATGTTTTGATTTTTTGATTTTTGCCCCATTTATTTATGCTTTTAAATTAAGGGACCTTGATCTTTCTTCCAACTTTCTAACCTTAAAAAGTAAAAAAAAAAAAAAAAAAAAAACAGCAGGCACAAGATGTCAACTTGACGTCAGATTGACGTGCAATTAATGACAGCAGAAAAGACAGCAAAATTAATGTGTGCAATGAAATTGTGGTAGCTGCATAATAGGACAATTGTTTATTTTTTGCAATCCAAAATAGTTTATTATCATTGACATAAGTTTTTTTTAATTAAACGTGTTTTTATTTGAAATCTTTTATTTTTTAATACTACATACTTAATATTTTTTTTAAACTAGGTATTTTTGATTGAATAATAAAGGAACAAATCTAACTCTATAGGTGGGGACATTACATTTTGCTTGGAAATGAAAATCAGGTTAATGTCAGAACCCGTCTGGCCGATGTCAATGTCCAACATCCAACCTAAAATCAACCAAATATCAACGTCTAAAGGGCTCCTTTTTCAAATGATACATTTTCATATGACTGAGCTCGTATGAAATAGCTACTAAACTGACAAAACATAAAATAGTTACATTTCCTCAGTGTGCAGGGCTTCCCACAGGTTTGAAGTGCACTTGCAGGGGTAGCCGGATTGAAAGACCCCTTTTTCCCACAGCAAATAAATGGTCAACTACATGCGACAAACAAAAAATAATGTGATTTTTAACTTGACTTTTATTCATTATAACAATTTTATACACCTGTTCTTTTCAGTGGGTTAAAGTTATTTTAAAAAGGCTGTTGAAGTAATTGAAATACACTATTTCTCTTACTTTTATGCCATTTAGGAGCCATGTGCACCCACTGAGAGATAAAGGATGCTCTCTCTCTCTCTCTCTCTCTCTCTCTCTCTCTCTCTCTCTCAATTCAATTCAATAATTGCTTTATTGGCATGACAATTGTTACAAATGTATTACCAAAGCAGTTATAAAGTTTACATAAAAAGCAACATACATATATAATAAAAAAAAAAAAACGGTACACACAGTAAATAGTAGTAGCAAAAAAAAAAGATGCTATTTATATATAATAATTAAATAAAATATCAACAATACATCATATTATTCAATATCTCTATCTATCTTCAATATCTTAATTCTCTCTCTCTCTCTTTCTCTCTCTCTCTCTCTCTCTCAAGTTGCTTTTGGAATGACATTTACAGTATTGTCAAAGCATTTTAGATATGCATAAAGGATGTAATATGTTAACATCATTAAATTAATATAATACACAGCAAATGAGAAATAAAGTAAAGTCTGTGTGTGGGAAGTGAGGTCTTTCTCTCTGAGATGGCTGTCAAACTGACACTGATACAGGCTTCTGAGTCGGATGAAATTAACAGTTTGCTATTGCGCAATCCAGTGGACACAATTGGAACAGCAGTATATTTATTGAAAAATTGCAGCTCACAGAATCCTCTCGTGGGCTGCATTAAATAACTTGCGGGCCGTACCTTTGACATCCCTGCCTTAGACGCTGGCTAGACATTGAATTTTGAGTTGAGAATGTGCACCATTTGAAAGGTTTTGCATTTGGAGAGCCAAAATATATCGGCCTGTCCATCTATTTGGGTCCTTGACAAGACATCTGTCTTCCCGCTGGAGGCCTGACCTTACATGGCGGACACTAAACTGGGAGATCACTCCTCTGCGGGACGCGTCTGACCGGCGATTCCTCATAAATTAAACTCCTAACGACTCTATACGTGTAGCCTAAATTACCTCCTCCTGACTCTGCATGCTGAGCCCTCAGACGTCCGTCCTGAAAACACACTGTAAAGCTGAGTTTGTGTTGCTGCAAGTGTTTGCACTATTTCAGGCCTCCTCACACCTGTTCCTTGTTCTTCCTCTCTGCATGCTCTTTAGTCCCAAATAAGGAGCAGAAACATGTGGGATCCTCGCAAAAGGTGAGAAAATCTTGTGTTCCTGTGCTGACGTCAGTTCTGATAGGCTGGAATAACATAGCTGGTGTGCATGCAGCAGTGTGTGCTTATCAGTCGAGCTCTGTGTTAACGCAGCTGCTTGACTATAGTACTTGCTGGAAGAATGGGTTATTCTAATCGTTTTGCTTTTTGTTTACGGACAAATTCATTTAACAATTGAAGAGTTCAGATGCAAAAACGTCTAAGTGCTGTCTGAAATTTCCATCGAAAATGAGCATTACTCTCAGCTCTTCTTTGTTCATGTTGAGTTATGTCACTTTCAAATCAATGAAAAGCACTTATTCTTTGCCATAAAAGTGAAATGACTGAACATACACACTGGAGGCTGACAAAAATGCTCATTTTAGAAGAAAATTTCAGACGGGAGGTTTTTGCATCTGAACTCTTCAGTTGTATTATTTGTGTCTTGTCTCACTACCATCGTAAAAATGTAAATGCTTATTGTTATCATGATTGTTATTAAAAGGAATAATTTTTTTAAATAGTGATAATAATAGTTATTGGTTATTGTTGTTATTGTTATTATCATTATTATTACTTATAGCAATAAAATAATAATAATAACAACCCTAATAAGTTATAAATAAATAATAAAAAATATTATTATTATTATTCTTTTTATTATTGTTTTTATTATTATTATTATTATTTGATTGTTATTGTTTATAATAATTATTTGTAATTTTGTCCCACTTTCGTAAAAATATAATTATTATTCTTTATTATTAGTATTATTAGTATTATTAGTATTATTATTATCAAAATTATTACTAATTATTATTATTATTATTATTTTAATTTTTATTGTTTTGATAATTTTTGGTTATTTTGTCCAAATTTATTACCATAAAAATATTTATTATTATTATTATTGTTATTATTATTATTATTATTATTATTCATTCATTCATTTTCGTGTCGGCTTAGTCCCTTTATTAATCCGGGGTCGCCACAGTGGAATGAACCACCAACTTATCCAGCAAGTTTTTACGTAGATGCCCTTCCAGCCGCAACCCATCTCTGGGAAGCATCCACACACATACACTACAGATAATTTAGCCTACCCAATTCACCTGTACTGCATGTCTTTTGACTGTGGGGGAAACTGGAGCACCCGGAGGAAACCCACGCGAAGGCAGGGAGAACATGCAAACTCCACACAAAGACGTCAACTGAGCCGAGGTTCCAGCGACCTTCTTGCTGTGAGGCGACAGCACTACCTACTGTGCCACTGCCTCGCCCATTATTATTATTATTATTATTATTATTATTATTATTATTATTATTAATATTATTATTATTATTATTATTACTAATAGCAATCAAATAATAATAATAAAAATAAGTATTTTATCACTATTATTATAATAATTATTATTATTACTTTTATAATAATTATTAGTAGTAGTAGTATTTGATTTTTACTCTTTATAAAATTATTTGTAATTTTGTCCCAATTTATTACCGTGAAAATATAAATTATTATTATTATTATTATTATTATTATTATTATTATTATTATTATTATTATTATTACTAATAGTAAAAAGTAATAATAATAATAATTAATATTATTATTGGTGCTTATTATTGACACTAGCTGGTTCACTTCACTGTGGCGACCCCTGATGAATACAGAGACTAAGCTAAAGGAAAACTAATGAATTATTGATACTATTATTAGTAATATAAAATAATAATAATAATAATAATAGATTGGTATTTTTTATTATTTTTATTATTATTATTATTATTATTAATATTA